CCGTTTAGATATCGTAAGAGCAAATTCAAAGTCACCTCTTCAGAGATCACTGTCAGCTAAGTGTGTATCTGGAACAGGACAGGTGAGCTAGAAACCATAATTTAAAGGAATGTGAGCTACTGCCTTTGGAATTGTTCAGTACTAAAAATGTTTCCCTTAAGTCACAGGACTTCGAATAACTTACCCTCTCTTACCCTCTTATGTAAAATAACAGAAGACTGCACTAGGTTCGGCTCTTAATTCTTATGTCATCTGTAAGATATTACTCTCTGAAGCAGAACACTTGGGAGCAGAGGTGGAAGGGACAGGAAAATGCTGATCTACATTTGTTCTCTGGTATAGCATGAAGAGCACAGATTCTGAAATCAAACTATTTAGGGTTTAAATCCCACTATCACAGCTTACTGGAAATGATACCTAAAAAGGCCTTTTGTTGAACATTATCATAGATCCAGAAGCACATATCTTTAGGGTAAAGAATCAATTTTCTTTTCTTCTATATCCAGAAAGCCTGAAGTACCTGGTATCTAGAACAGGGAGGGGTCAACCACCTTTTTCTCTAAAGGGCCACACAGAAAATAGCAGGTTTTGTGGGCCATATGGTCTCTGCCCCAACCAAGAGCAGCCATAAACAATACATGAACAAATCAGTAGTTGTAATAAAACTTTATTTACAGAAACGCCACAAACTGGGCTATAGCTTGCCAACTCCTGATTTAGAAAGCTATGGCCTTTTTCATATCTAGCCTTCAGAATTCAAAATTGAGCAAAATATTTTCAAAATATAACTTTCAGGTAAGTGTGACCCAGTACCTTCTGTTTACATTTGATTCTCCTCTAAGCATTTATTTACTGCTTTTTATTTATGCATCTCTCCCCTTAACCAAATTATATTTTTATTATTCCAGTACTAAGTGCCTTGCACATAAATTCCATAAATCTAGTATTATAGTACTAGTATTATAGTACTATAGTATTATAGTATGCAGAGTTTTGACCTTTTAGAGCTAATAATATCACCTAAGTTAGCCAAGATCTGTGTTGCACTTTAGAATACATAATCCCAGGGTTTCTCAACCTCAGCACTATTAACTTTGAGCCAGATAATTTGGAGGTGGGGAGGGAGGCAGGGGTACTGTCCTGTGCATTGTACAGATGTTGAGCAGCATCCCTAGCCTCTACCCACAAGATGCCAGTAACACACAAACACACACCCCAGTTTTGACAATCAACAGTGTCTCCAGACATTGCCAGATGTCCCCTGGGTATAATCACCCTCAGAAAAGTTTGAAGCAGGATGATCCAGCGGCAACAGTCAGGACTTAAAGCCAAGTAGTGAATTCAGATTCTCAACTCATTACATTTAAATCACACTATTTTTAAAGTTTAATATTTCAGTTGCCTAGTTGAAATATCCTTGTGTTTTTGCCATCCCTTTAATGACTCTCATTCAGATGCCTGTTTTTGTGACTTAAGAACTGTTTAACTTAAAATATTTTTTGACATTTATAATATACGGAGACTATACTTTTCTCTGAAAGTCGGTTAGTGAAGTACTGGTACCCAACTGGAATCAAATGGCTAATTTCACATTTTTCTTCAAAAAATAATATGAATGAAAAAATTTTGCGTCTGTTTTCAAACCTTAAAATACAATAATTCATAGGGAATTTTACTACTTATGGACATTTTTCTGAAATATTTGTTCTACGTGTACTTCTCTATCAGGGCGTATTAAAGAGATACCAAGGGCTTCCCTGGTGGCGCGGTGGTTGAGAGTCCGCCTGCCGATGCAGGGGACACAGGTATGTGCCCCGGTCCAGGAAGACCCCACATGCCGCGGAACGGCTGGGCCCGTGAGCCATGGCCGCTGAGCCTGTGCGTCCGGAGCCTGTGCTCCGCAACGGGAGAGGCCTCAACAGTGAGAGGCCCGCGTACCGAAAAAAAAAAAAAAAAAAAAAGATACCAAGCATGTAAAAATATTTTTTAGTTAGTATTATTTAAAATGTTTTAACTTTTAACAGGTATCCACCTGTCGACTAAGAAAGGATCAACAAATAGAAGATGATGAAGAGGATGAAGACTTAGATGTTACAGAAGAAGAAAATTAAATTTCTTAAGTAAACTTTGCATTTCCATTTTCATCTTAAATGACTTGGAATCCAGAATGACTTTTACTGTAAAACTTTATACTGGCTTGAAATGAAATGAAATCCTACTGGAAATGGAGAAATTATTAAAGGAAATTTATGCTGACCAAAAATGAAGTTTTAAAAAATATTACATACCAGTCATTTCAACATTCTGTCTAGCAGCATGTGATCTTTTTGTATAAGTTCCATTTTTTAAAAAAGATTATGTATTTCAGAAGTATTTCATATTAATGCATTATACCTAGTTTGAGGTTACACTAGTTAAATAGATAACAACAACAAAAAAAATCTAACAATTCCACTTGCTTCCTTTAGGTTAAGACACCATGCTTTCAATACCAGAAAAGGGTCCTAGATAGTCATTCTGATGAAATACAAATTCTGTTCCATAAAGCTTTCATCAAAAAGCCAAGTTTTCTTTTTTTACTTTTTTTTCACTTCTACTACAACCTGAAGTTTCATCATTCAATATATAAATTTACTTTTCAACGAGAGTATTATAGTCACTCTTAACAATAATAGGACACTAGGATATTGGTGTTTTACAACTATACATAAAGCATAAATTTTAGCTTTAGAAAGCTACATTCAGCTTGATTCTGGTTTTAAAACGAAGCCACTGTCATACCAAAGTGCTATATATGGCACTGCATCTTTTGCAAAGCTATGATTTGGTGGAATGTTGCCCTAAAAAACATCATGGAAAACCATAAATCAGTAAAAATTCTATAAAACTTTTACCAAATTACCATCTAATCAATAAAAGAGTGTACAGTCACTCTTGTTCCTGAAAATATAAAACAATTTAATCAGAGCCTTTCAGTATGTCTGATGCTTTTCTTCTTTGGATGGGGAATTGTACTTCTGTTATTTCATAGATCCCAGTCAGACATGTAAAAATTAGGAAATGATCATTTGGGATTACCACAAAAAGATAACAAAAATAAAACTTTCCAGAAAGCTTTTATGACTTTGTTATTCATGGTTCTGTTCTTAACAAAGCACTGCTTCATGAAAATAGCCCTAAGTGATAAATTTACTTAAGTTTTTAAGTAAAATATTCAAAACATTTTAAGATCCTAAATATAATTTGATATTCTTAAAAAACTGAGGATATCATTGCATTTTTATTTTCTCAGTATTTAATCTTGGTATTTGTAGCTGGGAGAAAAAAAACACAGTTCTAGTATTGCTCTTGCTGCTTATGATAGCAATTCACTTCTTGTGAGCATCAGTTGCCCTATTTATAAAGTTAAAATAGTGCCTGATATATAAAGCAATCAGCAAATAATTCTGATATAAAATGTATGCTTTGGCCACTTCAAAAAAAATATTCTAAGGACAAAAGGAATATACAAAATACTTTCGATGTAAAATTAAATTTTAGACCAGATGTAGGTTGGCAAACTCCTTAAAGGGTTACACAGTAAATATTTTTACAATTTGTGAGCTGAGAGACAAAATCAAGGCTATTACATAGGTACTTATGTAACCCTATTTAAAAATGTAAAAGCCTCTTTTAGCTTCCTTATAAAAAGACAGGCTATAGGCTTCCATTTCTTATCTCCAAAACAGGTTTATTAGGGTTATTGGAACTAAATGATATAGTTAATTCACATGTAATTAAAGATCATAAATACACAGTATCTATTACAGCTCAGTAAATATTAGCTTACATTTAATACAAAGATGGAGGTGATAGGGTCACTGCTTAATAGGTGATATATGGACCAAGAGCCAATGCTCTTGACAGTGTTTTCAGTAAGTGGTAAGCGTGTGCTCCTAACACAATGATTCTTAACTATCTCTTGGGATTAAGTTTACTTTCTAGGCATGATCTATATTTTTCACAATACCTCGAGTCAAAAATGTTTGGCTTTAAGATAATTAAAATGCCACTGGGTATTAAACTAGAGAACCAATATGCCACTATACCTGATACATCTAGGAGAGGAAACAAAACTGGCTATGAGATAATTATTGGAGCTGGGCGATGGGTGTATGAGGATTTAGTACATTATTCTCTTACCTGTTTGAAATTGGTGGTGTGCTGGTAGTTGGCTCTCTGGGGTGGAAAATGCCCTGATTTTCTGCATTTACCAATTTCCATGGTGTGAATACTCCTACTACGGCCAATTTAAGTTATCAACATGTCACTGAAGGCAGAGTTGGGAACAGATATGCAAAAATGGCTCCCAAGCAGTAGAAGCCAGCTTTCTGTAATAAACTTTTTAAAGTTAAAAAATATATTAAACCGAAGATTATGGAGTAAATTAACTATTCATATCAATCCATTAATTTTACAATCAAAATACAAAGCCTGTGTTTACTATTGTGATAGCCTCTTATCTACCACGACCATCCCAGCCTAGATTGAGAAGCAGTTCAATATTAAGTGATACTGCACTTTAAGCTTCATCTTAGCTTTTACTGATATATATTTAAGAAGCATTTTTAAGTCTTCCCATATACTCCTCCAATAAATTAAGTAATCTCTGAGCAGTTAAAAATATCATTTCTTCCTATTGTCATTTTCCTAGCTGCTTGTAAGCTTACTAGTTTCAAGAGCCATACTGATGTGCTTTTTTGAACCAAATTTACCAATTTATTCATTCCACTAGCAAGAACGACACTCAACATAATTAAAAACACAGAGGGCTTCCCTGGTGGCGCAGTGGTTGGGAGTCCGCCTGCTGATGCAGGGGACAGGGGTTCGTGCCCCGGTCCGGGAGGATCCCACATGCCGCGGAGCGGCTGGGCCCGTGAGCCATGGCCACTGAGCCTGAGCGTCCAGAGCCTATGCTCCGCAACGGAAGAGTCCACAACAGTGAGAGGCCCGCGTACCGCAAAAAAAAAAAAAAAAACGCAGAAACTTCGGTTGGTTTTTCTTAGACTTCTTTAAATCACTAAAGATTAATCCAAAATACTTATAGCACTAACTGGCTAAATACTGACAAAGTATTCTACTTCTGCCATACCCTATTATTAAATGACTAAACTACTGATATAAATTCAAACTTTATTCTTATTTGCTCACTGTGGGAAATATCTAAATCACAGAATTGAGGAAAATTAACCTTGTTTTATGTAAACTATAAAAGGCCAACCAAAGTCAAATCACGTTTCATAAGATGAACAATGTTAAATTAGAAGCCAATACATAATGTTTGTCTCCCAGAGAAACCCTGAAAGTTGTAGTTACTTTGTCTTTTATTAACAATGTTTGGGCATACTAATTTTATCTTTTCTTAATGCTATTTTTAAAGCAAAAATGGAGGTAAGAAAATATCCTTTACTCTTGAAAATATTTTTAGCATGGTCTTACTAAAATTAAAAACAGCATTTAACAAAGTTAGCAGGCAAAAGTATTAAGAGCATGAACTGGAGTGTGTAGTCTGTCTGGGTTGAAACTGGCTCCATGATTTACTAGCTATGACTTTAGGCAAGTAACTTAAACTCTCTGAATTTCATTATCTCATTTGTGAAATAGCGCTAAATACTCTTAAGCTGCTTAGGGAATAATTAAGATTGACATTATGCATGTAAAGTACTTATACTGCCTAGCACATAGTAAGTGCCCAATGTAAGCATTAACATTATGATGGTATAGAAAATCAAATCCAGTATTTGCAAAATGTCTAAATGTCAAATATCAATGAAGTCAAAATTCAACCTCACAAAAGTCTTGTTATATTTAGTCATTGAGTCTTCGGATAAAAAGTTTTGAAATTAAGAGATGAGAACCTAATTTGAAAAATACAAGTTATATGAATCATCAGTAAATTCTTCCTAGAAACAAACTATGTCCATTTATCAGATTCTTACCAGCATAAGCCTGAAAGTCCCCTTGTACCTATAATTACTTTTTTATTTTTTTGTCTTTAAGTATTTTGAGTAAATCTTATCAGTTTGGTTGATGAGATGTTGGAAGAAACCACAGAACTATACACAGCACTAATACACTATTATTACAGAATGTTTGGTCTCTCCTGTCATAAATATTACCTTATACAGCTGTTGGAAACCTTCACAAAAGAAGCTGTAATATTTTTTTCTCTTTATACAAATACAATTAGTTGGTTTATTCAGTTGCAATTTTATTTTTATAAAATTTTGAAAGTTATGATCATCGAAGTTTTAAGAATTTCCTAAGCTTTTTACATAAGTAAATTTCAAGTTCACAGTCTGTCAATTTTGAACTATTTATGATTAAGGGGAGGCTTAACAGTAATATCTCAGACAAGGAAGAGGGCATTAATTCTGCAGGCAGTTAGCAATGAAAATGCTAACCCTGAACAATCAGTCACTGACCATTTCCTTATACAGTTTGAGTAAAAAGATGTAGACTACAGAATGGAAACAAAAGTGAATATAAAACTTATCTTCCCCAAATACAGTTCTACTATACAAGTCTTGACGTTTACCCATGACATCAACAAAAATTAATGCACTCAGGGAATTAGTTCTCTCCCCCACTGGTCAAAAAAAAGGCATATATATTTTTAAGTTAGAAAAAGTGAACGGCAATTTCCAAGCAAAAGAAAACCAGATTCACATTCTACTATTTACATTTGTTCTATTCACAGGTAAAATTAAAATGTTTCTTTTCATTAGTTAAAAGTAAACACTTAAAAAAATGCATTTTACTGCATCAATACTGTGGGGAAGTAATTCTGAATTTAGAAATGCTCTCTAGAGCAAAATTAACTTAACTTTGCGGGGGCCAACTGGCCTATCATTCAGATCTTTAATAGCAGCCATAGCTTCATTGTAGTTTATCATGGCAACAATGGCTTCCCCTGTAGGTAATCCTTGCTCGTTATACTGTATTGAAACTGAATCAGGTATGATTCTGTAACCATGGAAAAAGTCTAGAATTTCATTAACATTAGCTTTAAATGGAAGATTCATTATCTTAATGGGTGTTACTCTACCTGAATTACAATTTAATTTTGGATCAGGCATAAATCTCCCCTCAGGAAAACTTCCCATATTACGCTTTCCAAAATCAAACTTGCCACCTTCTGGGCGACCAAAATTCACAAAAGGGCGATGACTTCTAAAATCATCAGGGGGGCTCCTAAACTCCTCACCAGGAAGCCTAAAACTGTCAGTAAGTCTAGGGTCCTCCTCTGGAGCTTCCCTGAGGTCTTCCTCCGGGAGACGCCTGAAGTCCTCATCGGAAGGGCTTCTAAAATCTTCCTCCTGGGGATTCCTGAAGTCCTCATCAGGAGGGTGCCTAAAGTCTTCATCTGGAGGACCCCTGAAATCTTCATCCAGTGAGTGCCTAAAATCTTCCTCTCGGGGGCGCCTGAAATGCTCCTGGGATGGCCGCCTGAAATGTTCCTGAGGCGGCCGTCTGAAATGCTCCTGGGGTGGCCGTCTGAAATGCTCTGGGGGCGGCCGCCGGAAATGCTCCTGAGGTGGCCGACGGAAGTGCTCCGGGGGCGGCCTCCGGAAATGCTCCAGGGGTGGCCGCCGGAAGTGTTCCGCAGGTGGCCGCCTGAAGTCCTTCTCGGGAGAACGCCGGAAATCCTCCTCAGGAGACCGCCTGAAGTCCTCCTCGTGGGGCCGCCTGAAGTCCTCCTCGGGAGGTCGCCGGAAGTCTTCCTCTGGAAGTCGCCTGAAATCCTCCTCAGGGGGCCGCCTGAAGTCTTCCTCAGGTGGCCGCCTCCATTCCCCCGGGGGAAGCCGTCTGAAGTCCTCCTCAGGAGGCCGTCTCCAATCCTCCTCAGGTGGCCTCCTGAAGTCTCCCTGGGGGGCCCGCCTCCAGTCCTCCTCAGGGGGTCTCCTGAAGTCTTCCTTGGGAGGCCGCCTGAAATCCTCCTCAGGTGGCCGCCTCCAGTCCTCCTCCCGAGAGTGCCTGAAATCCTCCTCCGGAGTGTGTCTGAAGTCCTCTTCCCAAGAGCGCCTGAAGTCCTCCTCAGGAGGCCGCCTGAAGTGTTCCTCCCGAAGGTGCCTGAAGTCTTCAGGGGAGTGCCTGAAATCCTCTGGGGAATGCCTAAAGTCTTCTGGAGGGCGCCTTTCAGGAGGTCGGAAATCCCCCTGGGGATGCTTGAAATTGTCCAGTTGCCTCAAGTCCTCCTGCTGATGCCTAAAGTTTTCAGAAGGGCCAACCGAGTATAATGGTAGATCATTTGAGTCAAATGAATGGGAATGATCATCTCTGTCACATGACTGTGAATGGTCATGCATTCTCTCACTGGACATTGAAGAAAAATTTACACCAAACTCCCGCATTTGTACCTCAGATATGAGCCTTAACAATACCTCTGTCCCCAAGAATCTTCGTCGGTTTAAATGTTCAGCTTTCATGGCCTGTTCTTCTGATCTGAATTTCACCAATGCTTCTCCTAGACCAACTCCTTTGTCATCATAAAGCAAGTAAATGTCATCCTCAGCAAGAGAAAAGTCTGCAAAGAACTTCTGCACTTCAACTTTTGTAACATCAAATGGAAAATTTCTTATATATATGCACAGTTTCTGGCCAGAATAGCCTTCTTGAGAGTATTTTTGTGAAACGTGTCCAAGCCTCTCTTTCTCTGTTGACGCTGGTCTTTTCTTTTCATAACAGTCAATGAACTTCAGCATCTGTTTTCTAGAAACTGGATCAATATGAACTGGACGATACTGTAAAACAGTCTTATGTAAACCCAGAGCAGTGTTATAGTCTTTCAGAGTCTTGAACATCACAAAGGCATATCTTGTTCTTCTTTCATCCTTATATAAAAACCTAATCTGTTCATTAGTCAGATCAGTATCTCTAAAGAAATTTCTTAAATCTCTTTTGTTAATACTTAGGGACAGATTTTTTAAGTGAACATAAAATCCAAGAGGAGAACGAGAACGTGTTCTTCTGGGAGATTTTGAATGAGATCGTTTCCAAAAATGTCTATCATTAATTCCTCTTGGTGGAGAATGTTCTTCAGTCCTCATAGAAATGTCACCCTCCTTAACTGCATTACCTCCAAACTCAATCCACTGTTGTTCCGAGCCTTGCATTACTTCAATAAATCTTGAACCCATAAAACTTCTATGACATTTAAGACCTCCTGAAGCATCGATACATGAAGCAAATTTTACTATGGCATCACCATTATTTCGGCCATCATGATGCTTTAAGAAAATTACTCCATCCACACACAAACCAGAGAAAAAGACACGTACATCATCTTCGTTTACTAAGTAAGGCAAGCCTCGTAGAAACAAGTAAGGATTCTCTGCCTTCAATGGTCGTGTCTTTCTTGGCCTTAAATCACCTTGTCCTGTACCATTAGTATGAAACCCAGCATCTTGATTAATCGGAGAGCCATATCCAGAATTACTTGCTTCTTCTTTAATAGCCTCAACAAAATTAGATAAGCTGCCAACCCCTGGTGCCCCAGATCCTGGTCTCTCTCTTCCCATGCGATCAGTTCTTTTCATTTCTATAGTCTTCTGCATTTCTGCCTTACTACTAAGAAAAAGCTCTACAGATGAATCCTTGATAAACCCTCCTGAACGACTTATGGCACGTCTTGCATCTTCATCTGTTGCAAAGATAATAAAAGCCTCCCCAACTTCCCCTCCAATTATATGCACTCCTCCATCAGGAATAGTCAATCCCGTGAAGAAGTGACGAATATCCACAGGCCCCGCAATAAAAGGAAGCCCCAGTAAACGGATGACTACAGCCATGCTGAGCTCAAACCACAGCAATAATGACCTGCAGACAGAAAGGTACACATAATAGCAAGTCTTATTTTTGAAGTACCTAATCCCAAACTAAGCTTAATAGTTACTTGGTTCCTACCTTCTTCAGCATTTATAAATGAAAATAAGACATGAGTTCACAAAGATACTGACTGTATCTAATTCTTAAAAAGAAAAAAAGGAATAAACTTTCTCCCAACTAAACATACAAATAAATAAACCAGCTACTTTGAAGAAACATTTCCTATCACCTATCCTATACAGTATGAGCATCAAAAATATCACATCTTCTTTATAAGTCTGCCAAGTGCTACTTCACAACAAGACCAAACTATTTTCAGACATATCTTCTACTGAAACATGGGAGAGAGAGCTTTGGTGATTAAAGAATTTTACCAACCACAACGAATTTTACATACTTAGAAAAGGCATCTATGGTCAGTATATAATTGCTGCTCATGATAATAAACTGCTTACCACTAGCGCACCACTGACCAGACATAAAGTACAGAAGCCATATGTACCTAGATGTACTATTCTACTTTGCATTTTTTTTTGTCAAGCTTCTGTGAAACGCCTTAAGCTCTGGATATCTTACCTTTTTTTTATTTCTTGGAGACCTGTTAATTCTGTAAAAGCAACTTAACTGTGGAAAGAAAATGAAATATAATTAATCCTTGGACCCTGCAATTGATCTTAAACAACGCCAGATTAGGATATTCACTTCAGAATTACCTATTAAAAGTGAAGCAATATAAGAAGCACAACTAAGGGCATTACGAAATGGTTATCTTTGTTCCAAGGGGAAATTAATCATCCTTCAGCAAAAAGAAGGTACAGATTCCAAGTAGACATCGGCAAATTATTTAGAAGCAAAAAACCTGAAAATTTAACAATCGGTCCTTGATTGGAAGTGACGTGAGGAAAAAGGTGATGGACATGTTATATATTTTGATTGGAGTGTTGGTTATATGGTTGTATAAATTTATCAAGGCTAAATGAATTCTATCCTTAAGGTCTGTGCATTTCACTGTATATGAATTTTATATCCACTTTAAAAAAAAAACTGTTCTACAAGTAAAATGACAATTTAACACCCAAAATTCCCAAAACACCTTCTACTCATTTCCACCCATGAAAAGACCAACATCTAATTCATTATGTCCAACTCTCCTGCAAATCTCCTCCCTTTCAAAACATAAGACCAAATCAAATTAATAAATGATACAGTGAACACTAATGTTTCAAATTCAAAAACCAATTTTTAAAGCAATAAATCCAAGACCAATGGCTACCATTTGGACACAATTTTACGTTCTACATATACACCTCACATTTCTAAACATGGAACCAAATTTCCTGATTCCACTATAAATAAGACAAATAATAAAATATCCCTAAAATCTAAAATCTCAATTACTACTACTCTTACACTCAACTATTGCTACTCCTTATCTTAAACTCCTAAAAAACTAGTAAAATTCATCTTAAGCCAGAAAGAAAACATTCAGATAAACACAGAATCTTATGATGCTAATGTTTATTCCATTTCAAACAACTATCCTGCATTCTACCAAGGAAACCCAAATGAAAATGTAGAAAGGTAAAAATATAGTAAGAATATATTAGTTTGGGGCTTCCCTGGTGGCGCAGTGGTTGAGAGTCCGCCTGCCGATGCAGGGCACACGGGTTCGTGCCCCGGTCCAGGAGGATCCCACATGCCACGGAGCGGCTGGGCCCGTGAGCCATGGCCGCTGAGCCTGCGCGTCCGGAGCCTGTGCTCCACAATGGGAGAGGCCACAAGAGTGAGAGGACCCCGTACCGCAAAAAAAAAAGAATATATTAGTTTGGAATGTTTGGGGATATCAGTATTAACAACTGAAAAATCTGAATTTAATATTCCTTAAGGAAATTACATCTAATACTTTCAGATGTACCCAAACAAAGTAGTCTTAACCAAGTAAGTTTTTAAGACTGGCTAAATTAATGATTATAAGTTTATGTTTTTAGTGTGCAAATAAAGGTTGTTTTAATTCAGTACTTACACCTAAGTACCACTCATCCACAAAAGTGGTGTCTGAAAACATGTTCTTTGAGGTCTGCAAGACTTATTTTCCTTTGAAAAATGTCCATAGATTACTTTTTAAACTACAAGCTAAACTAACAAGGATAGCAAGAAATTAACTGGCACATTTTACACATCTAAATTATCAATGCCAAACTGATATTAAAAATATTAATGAGTTTTACTATAAAATATTTGCATGGTATGTGGGGGGAGGGGCAGAGGACATATGGGAAATCTTTCTACCTTCCACTAAATATTACTGTGAAACTAAAAAACCGTTCTAAAAAATAGTCTATTAGAAAATATCTGCACTGTCTCCCCAACCCCACCCCCACCCACCCCCACCCCCCGCCAAAAAACGTGTATAAGCTTAGTTTCTTCAACAAACCAACATCCACACCAACATTTTAACAAAAACTACAAATGGCTTCTGGAATAGTTGTCCACATTACTGTTCCAAGACTTCTTCCTATGCAAAATGACTTAGCTCCTTTTTCGCTTTTAAAATATTTTAGAAAGCAGTGTAATAAACATCATTTTGTCCCTCCTAAACTTTCTTAAAAATTCAAAAAGGAACAGAAATATATCTACAGAAAAAGCTGAGAACATTTCACGGAGTAATTAATGCCAAGTACAAAAAATGTCTTATAGGGGCTTCCCTGGTGGCGCAGTGGTTGAGAGTCTGCCTGCCGATGCAGGGGACGCGGGTTCGTGCCCCGGTCCGGGAGGATCCCACATGCCTCGGAGCGGCTAGGCCCGTGAGCCATGGACGCTGAGCCTGCGCGCCCGGAGCCTGTGCTGTGCAACGGGAGAGGCCACAACAGTGAGAGGCCCACATACCACCAAAAAAAAAAAGCTTATAATTTATCCTCCCTAATTTGTAAACAATATTCTAAGTAGTTCCACGAGTACAAATTCGTGAATTGCAATTCAAGTAGAATATATAAAATGTTTCTTCTAATTTGCCACAAATATAACTACTGCTTAAACTTTTCTGCCCTTGAGATAGAAAGGTAATGTACCATTTATCCCTCTAAAAAACACACCTAGGAGACCACCTATAAGAAACCAGCTCTGAAAATGAGCATCTTTCCTGTGGTTCCCATGTTATTTCCTTAAGCAAATTCCCCAGAAATTCTATTCTTAGAACATTACACAAAAAAGTAAAACACAAAAATACCCTAAAATACTCTACACTTAAAATTTTTCTACTTACGAATGCAACAAAAGTATTTTTGTGGCTGTGTTCGTTTAAAGACAGTGATCTGTTAGAACTTCTAACCTATGAAAAGAAGGAAGTGGGTCCTTAAGAGCTCATTTAAGGGCAAGTCGCTGAAATTAACAAGCTCATTTTAAATAATTTTGCTAATTTTATCCAACGATTCATCCCACTTAATCATCATTATCAAAAAAAAAAACCCCACGAAATGTGCATCTTCTCATCAAGACTGAAAGGGAAAAGGTAGGAAGGCTAAATTTAAATGGTATTATTTCAGATCCATTTATTTTAACTAGAGAATAGCAAGTCATTTTCCAGACATGGTGAGGGGGAGAACACTGCCACTATTTCTTAAAACCTAAAGTTAGGATGAAGCACATTTGAAGCACAAACGCAAGAGTTTCCCCTGCAGAAAATAATCTACCCCAGTCCACAATGATTCTTTATGACGATCTGCCTTTTATCCTTTTATAATGTAGATGGTTAAAATAAAAAACTAAAGGCATGACGACACAGAGCCAAGTCCCCAGTAGGAACCGTAAATGAAGATGAATCCACACGGCACAGGAATTCCCATAACATCCATCATCCTCAAACGGATCATCCGAAGGCATTGCTTCTATAGCCCAAAGCCTTTGTCCATACTCCCAGGGGTCAGAGCTTCCTTCTTTCGCACCAGGCCAAAGTTGCTACGTGGGATCCGATGCTGTAGCCAGACCTTCAGCCAAAAATCAGCCTTCATATTAACCTGTACCGCCCAACCTCCGTGCCTTTCCGTTACACCGTCCCAAGGGCAAACATTCCGCCCTAACTAGCCAAAGCGTGAACTGTCCCCAAATCTAACTGAAACACTTTAGCTCCCCTCAAGCCTAATGAGCCAGGCCTTCAGCGCTTTTCTGCCACCGCTGACTACGATGACATAGCAAAGAAAAAAAATACCTATGCAATCCTTCGAGATCTTCACTCTCAAGCAGACTGGCAAGTGCACACACACCACCACATGGACGGGGGAGTCGGTATTTAGCAAGGAAAGAGGGTGCCCTAACGACAGAAGCTACGCTAGTTCCTTGCGCGGCCCCGCCTTTCCCTGTGCTTCCGTCCCGGCCGCCAACCCCTCCCAGCCCCCGGCGCCCCAGGGGTAACTGCTTCGCACTTGGCAATAAACACACACCGCTGCTGCCGAGTCGGAACCACAAGGCTGGGGGCGGGGTGCACTCCTCGTCGCAGCAGCCTCCCCAAAACAGGCAGACCCCTGAGCGAGCCTAGAAGAAGATGGCGCCCACTCTCCCCTCTGCTCCGGACAAACGGACGCACAGTTTATCTGCCCATGCGCTCTCCAGGCGTAACCCACCACCCCGGCGCCCCGGCCACGTTTGCGCACGCGCCCAGACGCTCACCTACTTCCCGTCGTCCAGGGAAGGGAGGTGGCTCCCATAAGCGCGCTCGCTCGCCGTGGAGTCGCTGAGCTCCTGCGCATGCTCAGATTCCAACCAAGCCGGGAACCTGAACAAGGGTCGGGAGAGAGCTTCTGAGACAAAGTTCGGGGTTAACCCGTTGCTGCGGTGAGAGGCTTCAGTAAATAACAGCCGAAATACACTGAACAAACGTTCGTGATTCCCAGGAGTTAAGAAAAGAGACGCAAAAGCGGAGAAAATTTTACGATTTCTTCATCTTTTCAGCGCTGCAGTTATGTGTTCTAAGCATCTAACGAAAGCCTCTTTGTAAATACTTTTAAAAGACCAGAAAAATGTTAGTGTTGCTGCCTTAGATGTTACAGGTACAATGCCAACACCCAAGGGGCTTAATAAGTGCATGCATATTCAACTTTAGAGACATTTATGAAGTCTGTTAATGTCTTTATACAGTTCTTCCTACCTTTGGGTTTTTTGAAACAGAACCCATAAAGCCAATTTTGCAAATTGAGAAGCGAAAAGCACAGTTACAGGCAAGTTCTGTGGTGCCTGCTTTGTAAGAACTGGTGAACAACCTTGTGTTTTATTTTATTATTTGCAAGTAACAAAGCAGCCCACCACGTTTTATAATTACAGGATACATTTATGGGTGGATTCAAAGCTCACTAAGAAACTATTACTTTAAAGCATTGTTACATATGAGAGAAAAAAATGAGTTTTCAATATCTCTCTCACTGCAAAATACCCATTCTCTTTGAGAAAGAAGAGGTAGTTTAACAAGTGAATAAAAGGTGGTTCTCTGAGTGAGCCACCATTTACTCACTTGGGCAAATTACTTAGCCTCTCTATGCCTCAGTTTCCTCATCTGTACAATGGGGATAATATTAGTACCTGCCTCTTAAGGTTGCCAGAAATGTTGAATGAGCAAATATATGTAAATATCTGAGACTACATAAGTATTAGTGACTTGTTTCAAATGTCAAGGTGATCCCATAGACAAGCAGAAGATGTCACCTCAGGGAGCTAGGCTCAATGACTAGGCAGCATTTACCTTGATTATTTCCAAAACTCCAGGGTTTGGACCTAGCCTAGCAAGCTCAAGAAGCTGAACTTAAAAACTAACATCTATTGAGAGTTTATTATGTGCCAGCCCCTGTGTATTATCTCATTTTATTCTTACAATTACTTTTAGAGGTAGGTACTATTATTTTTCCTATTTTACAAATAAGAGAAACTAAGGCATAAAGGATTGTGTAGCTTGCCCCAGGTTACAGAGATAGTATTAACCAGGAATTGAACCCTAGTGGTTTGCTTCCAGAGAACACTGCTCTGAATTATACAGGGAGAGTATGCTATCTTCTGAGGCAGACTCCATGTAAACAAGCACACAGAAACAATGCTCCAAAATGTCAATATTGTCAATGTTAATTCACAAGAAGAAACACTAGTAAAGTGAAACTGAGATCAACTCAGACTGACCAGCACTTTACTGGCTGTAAACACTCTCTATATGAAGTCAAATGATGAGAGGATTGTTTGCTAAGCATAAAAATAGAGCATGAGTTATCTAATGTCAAAAACTGTTTTTCAGTTAAGGGTACCTAAGAAACCCATCTAACCCATCTTAACAAAAATACAGCTGTCATTTAATGAGCACTTACTATAAGGCTCGTCTGAACAAGTGTGCTTAGATCAGACTCCTTCCCTTGGACAGGCTTAGACAGATATTGCCAGCTGCCCTTGTTTTTCGACAATGACCATCCCCCTTCTATTCACATAGATTTTCTCCAAACAGAACAATATAGTGAATGGCTGTTTTTTTCTCGTCTGCCTTCTGCCTTTCTCTGATGACTACACCATTACAATCAAAAGAAGAAAATTCCAGTCCAGGTAATTGAGTTTACCTATATGGTATTCTGGCTATTGAACAGTTTCTTGAGCCTTTAGTGTGTCAACATGAAAATGTAATCATTTTAGAAAACAGAAAGAAAGTTTCTGGAACAGCAAAACAGAAGACTGTACCCTGAAACATGGTAACCACACCAAGCCATGACCATTCTTTGGCTCTGCCTGGGCAATTAGTCAACTTTACTAGGCATGTTACCACGACTACAGCACTACTTACCTTCCTGCATGATTTTGCTATCAGACAGTTTTCAGCTGTCCTTCCTAGGTCTTCAACATCTACAAGAACAGCCTTTCATCACTTGGCCTCAGAGTTCCTCCATCTTCTAAACTCCAAGGACCCTCTTGCAAACCCTGACTTCCATTCAATTCAACTGGGATTTATTGAGCATGGACTGTGTGTCCAGAACCTTGCTAAGGCTCCTGACAGACAAAGCTGAAGAAATCACGGTCCTCTTTCCTCAAGAAGCTCATACTGTAGCAGAAGAGACAAGCCCACGTGTGCAGCCAGTCATCACATACAGGAGGACATGTAGAGCATAGGGATTAAGACCGTGGGCTCTTAGATCAGCCAGATTCAAGTATAAATCCCAGCTCTTCCACTTCGTGACTATGGACAAATTCCTTATCCTTAAACTTCTCCATTTGTAGAGGAAGTTAACAGTACCCACCATGCAGGGCCATTATGAGGACTAAGTGAAATAATGCTTGTAAAGCATTTAGAACAGTCCCTAAGACACAGTAAACTCCATTACAGTTGTCCCTCGGTATCCTCAGGGGATTAGTCCCAGGACCCCTTCAGATACCAAAATACAAGGATATTCAAGTCCCTTATATAAAATGTCATAGTCTTTGCATATAACCTATGCACATGCTTCTGTATACTTTAAATCATCTCTAGATTACTTATAATACCTAGTACAGTATAAATGCCATGTAAATAGTTGCCAGTATGTGGCAAATTAAAGTTTTGCTTTTTGGAAATTTCTGGAATTTTTTCCCAAATATTTTCAAACTGCAGTTGGTTGAATCCATAAATGTGAAACCCATGGATATGAAGAGCCAACTGTATAACTTAGAAATCAAGAAGGTAGGCTCAGAAATCAGAATACCATAGTTCCAAGCCCAATTCTGCCACTTGCTAGCTGTATCATTTTAGTTGCTGAACTTCAGTTTCTTCACCCATCAAATGAAGATGACAATAGTAGAGTTGTTGTGTAGATAAAATGGTCTTATATATATAAGCATTAAAGACCCACAGTAAAGCACCAGGAAAAGCATATAACATGAAAATCTTACATGTCTCTCTGGTGGCCTGTATGCTCCTTTCCAGTTTGTCCCCTGCAGTGGTTCTCAGGGGCTCACCTACAAAACCTCCAGGAATCACTGGAGCACTGTATGGATACTACTAATTAAATAAAGGAAGTTGCTCAGTTGTGTGTAACAGAAGTCAGATCCAAAAGACTTAACAGAATCAACAAATGAATGATGTGTGGTCAATTAGAATTGAACAGGACCCCAGCATTCTAACTTGGATAACTTCTTGCCTGATGTAAATGAGAGTCTTGTCTCCATGGTAGAAATATGGAGGAGACTGAGATCCTGAATAGTCTATGGATGCTATAGTTAACAAAAAGGAGGCGTGCAGGAAGGGTACTGGATAAAATCTCTGGGTTTCAGTGATGAAGCTATGACCCCCAAATCTCACTGTAGAACCTATTTCTAGTGAACAGGCAGGACCATGTGTGAAACAGGATGTCTTCTTCTGCTTAGGCTCCCTTCCCCTGTGTTCCATCCAGTCCCAGGAACATAAAACAAAAGGAAGAAGCAAGAGGAAGACCTAAGAATCTACAGAGAAATTCTGAAGAGAGAACAAAAGGAGAAAACGAAAAAAAAAAAAAGAGAGAGAGAGAGAATCCAGAAGACCTTGCATTGGAAAAGGCAGTCTCATGGAGCCCCCACTCAGCTGCATAAGAATGGACCTTGGGTCTGGAACACTTCCTTACCAAGGGTTAAGGAGCCCACACAGACCGTGCCTGGTTTATTACCTTGTGTGGGAATATGTTTCCTTGTTTCAATCTCAATGAGTACTCTTTTGTCTCTGCTTAAAGCATGTGCCTCATATGGTACCTGACCAACCCCACTGTTATGACTGTCCTCTAAGGTGAGGGAACAGGGTTCCTTTCACTGCAGCATGAACAGGTGCAGCGCCTAGGCTAATTACCCTGTGTCAGCAGCAGGGAGAGACCCGCTAGCTATGGGGTGCCGATGCCATATTGAAGCTGAGCTTGCTGTGCCTCTTCTCTATGTAAGTTAAGTGCTGTCCCATCCAGGGCTTGACTGCATTGTTTTTGTTTTTTGTTTTTTGTTTTTTTTTTTGAAACTCCAATCAATACCAAGATGCAATGGGCAGACGTGTTTGGAGTTTTCCCCAGGATCGATAATTAGTGCATTGTACTCTGCCTGACACCATGCCATGTGGACACCAAAAAATTCTGTCCGTAAGGACTATGGCCAGAGGCCTCGTGGTCTAGGTCTAACCCACATTGGTCCTCTGCTCCCTTCCCAGGGATGAAATGAGGGAAGAGAGCATTGAGCTCCCCTTAGAGTTCGGAAGATGACAATAAACTAGAGAATGAGGGAATGAAGCAAGTTTTGATCTTTTCCATTTCAACAAATGTGTATTAAATGCTTATAATGTATTACACACAACTCCAGGAGACAATGGTGAACAAAAATGGACATGGTATTTATTCTCGTGAAGACTGTAGTTCAGGAGAAGAGAGAAAACTAGTGAAAGAATTATTCAGCTAAATGTAAATTTACAACAGGGATAAGAGCTGTAAA